AAACCGCCCCCTCGTCCTCTTCGTCGTTCCCCCTGAGACCTCCGTGCTCAGGGAAGGGCTGTGTACTATGTGTTTCGTATTGTCTTCGCATCATATCCGAAACCGTCGCCCAATCCTGAACATGTCATTGCGATCTGGGATTTTGAGGAACCTGAGCGCGCGCGAAGCGCGAACGATGGTTCTAGTCCACATCTATCGTGGCGTCACGACCGGAATCGTATTCGCATGAGTCGGGTTGATTCGTGCTGCATGGGCGCATGGGCAGAGCTAGCCACGAAATGTCGATGATCGGCCTTGGAGTGGGCATGGAGCTTTGGGGGAACGCTTTTCTATGCCCAAGGGTGGCAATTGCAGCTGACAAGCCTCTCGCACGCAGAGACGCGCCGATGTCGTGGCAAAATAGGATGCCTCGTGGACGCGTCGTGGCAGCGCTTTGGAAATGTAAGATTGCCGGACATGTGGGTTCCCTCCTCCTCCTCCTCCCCCTCCTCCTCCTCCTCCTCCTCCTCCTCCTCCCTCCCACTACATCCGCCTCCGCTCAATACCTCCGACCCTCTGAACGTCCTCATAACTCCATCCCCCTCCTCAACGACCTCCTACCCTCCTCATCCTCCTCCTCCTCCGCTGCACCGCACAGAAGTCCATGCCAATCGATCCTTAACCTCCATACTCCTCCTCCTCCTCCCCTCCTCACCTCCTCCTCCTCCACGTTCCCTCCCTCACTCCTCCTCCTCCTCCTCCTCCTCCTCCTCCTCCTCCTCCTCCTCCTCCTCGGGGTCCGTTCCGCGCGCCGGGCAGGCCCGGCTCGTGGCGGAGTTCAGCGCCAAGACGACGCGCCCGGGGGCCGACGTCGAGGCCCGGGGCCTCCCCGCCCCCCGCCTGGCCGGGCGGCGGCCCCTCGGCGGCCCCTCGGCGAGATTTTTCTCGGCGGCTCCGGCCCCCCGCCCTCGGAGACCCTCCTGCTCCTCCTCCTCCTGCTCGTCGTCCTCCTCCTCCTCCTTCTCCTCCTCCTCCTCCTCCTCCTCCTCCTCCTGCTCGTCCTCCTCCTCCTCGTCCTCCTCCTCCTCCTCGTCCTCCTCGAGCCTCCTCCTCCGCTCCCCACATGTCCGCTGGGTCCCTTCGTGTTGGGCGACGGCAAGGGCGAAATAGCTCAGGGGGGGACCGTGCATGGACAAAGAACTGAAACCCCTGACTCTGCCCCCTCCCCTCCCCCCACATTCAAAGCTGTTCCCAGACGTTCAAGAGCGCAGGCTTGAAAGGACAACAAAAAGTGGACCCCCCGGGCCTCCACAACACCAGAGCCCAGCTTTGAGTCGGGGGGGAGGGGGGGGACCAACATGGTATCGACCACGAGGGGGTTCCGCTTTTTTGTTCCCTTTCCAGAGCAACGCAAGTTTCCAGGGGCGCCGAGATCCTGGGCGAATGCGTGTAGTGCTCGCGGCTGGGCTATTCGCCCCTATCGTCGCCTCCGACCTTCAGCCGACTGACGGCCTCTTGAGGCTACAGTGGCACCCGTGGGCGGGGGACGCTTGCGGACAAACCTCGGCCCTCGGGGCGAGAGAAGCCAGCACTAGCCACGCGCAGAGGGGGGTGCAGGGGGGAGGGGGGAGGCTTCTTTAGAGCAACCCCTTTCTTAGAAGCACCCCTGCTTCTTAGAAGGCGAGGGCCTTCTCTACAAGTGTAAGGCCGGCGCCTTCTAAGAAGCACCCTCCGTCTAAGAAGCCCTCCCCCCTCCCCCCACCCCCTTGTGTGCGCCGCCAGCAGCACCGTGGGGCGGGGCAGTCGAGAGGACCACTGAGCAAATCTGGTGGCAATCAAAAAGTACCATCGCCGGGCTACTGGGTGGACTCGGCTCCCGCAGGCCCTGCGCCGCCGACGCGGGGCCACCAGAAGTCCCGACCCGTTCCCGAGACCCGGCTGGCTGTCTGCATCCTGCGCAGTTTTTTGACGCCCCCGGGGCCCAGCGAGGGCCCCTGTGGTTGAACGCGGGGGCAGACCTCTGTCTTGCTCTGGGCAAGGGGATATGCGAGACGAACAGTCCATGGGCTGTGGACGAGGGGGTGCGGACCAGGGGATGTGCTCTTGTCACGCACGGCTGCCCGTGTCTTTTGTCCGCATCCTTTTGTCCAGACAACGGTGAGGCTTTGCCTCCTCCCGGCCTCGTTCTGAGGCTGCGCCCCCCTTTTCCTCCCCCATCTCTGGCTAATTCAAGCTTCGCGCGGCCCGCTTAGCTTCGACTGGAAGAGGTGCGCTCTCGAACCGCGAATCAAAAAAGTCCAGACAACGGTGACAAACCTCCGTCTTGTTTTTATGCTTTTCACAGACGTCGGATGTCTGGGCCTTTCTCGGACGCCCGCTGCGCCCTCCGGCGGGCCCCTGCCGCCGCCGCCGCCGCCGCCGTCGCCCCCGCCCCCGCGCGCGCGCTCCGCTCGCGCCGTTCGGGCGCCGAGCGCTCGGTCGCCGGCGCCTTCTGTCCAGGCCTCCCAGATGGGTCGGAGCAGATGGGGTCGAAGGATCGCCCTGATCGCCGATGCATCGGCGATGCATCGGAAGGGGAGAAGGCACACGGGCACAAGCACGAGTCGGTTCTCCCAGGAAGATGTGGGAAGTTGGGGGGGAAGGCGATCATCCGGGAAGTCTGGGGGCGTACGGGGAACCCTGGGGGTTGTGTCTCCTTGTTTGTGTGTCCCGCTCTCCTCCTCCGCGGCCGCCCCGTCTGTTTCAGTCTCCCTTCCTGCACGCTGGGCAATTCGCTTCCCTGTGTCCCCGTTTAGCTCTTCCGCTGGTGCGGCCGTTCTGCCCCGCCGACGAAAGATTGTGTTGTGTGTACTTGGGCCACTTCCATCTGGGGGATATGTCCATAACCTCGTCCTCCTCCTGTTCCTCCTCCTCCTCCTCCTCCTCCTCTCCCTCCTCTTCCTCCTCCTTCTCCTCCTCCTCCTCCTCCTCCTCCTCCCCTCCTCCTCCCTCTCCTCCTCCTCCTCCTCCTCCTCCTCCTCCTCCTCCTCCTCCTCCTCCTCCTCCTCCTCCTCCCCCCAGAGTGGTTTGCGTGTGTGTGTGTGTGTGTGTGTGTCCCTGGGCCCCGAATCCGGGAGGCCTCTGCTCTCTGTGGGCCCGCCGAGGGCCGGGTGCGCGCTCCGCGCGGCAGCGCGGCAACGCCGCGCCCCGCTGCTGCTCGGGGGGCCCCCAGAGAGGCACCCCTGGCCCAGGGCGCCCCCCCGCTGGTCGCTCCACGTCCCGCGAGGGGTCCTTCGGCGGCGAGCGAGGGGGGGAACTGAGAAGAAAATGGCCTTCTCAGAAGGCGGCGGGACTTCTCAGAAGAACTCGTCGCGCCTTCTGAGAAGTTTCTGTGTCTTCGGGGAAGGCTTGGACAACCTTTCAGAAGGCCTGGGAACTTCCGAGCCTTCTGAGAATGCCTTCTCCTTCTCCCTTCCCCCCTCGCTCGCCGCTGGGTCCCCCCTATGTGTGACGACTCTGCAAATCAAGACGCAAATGTTCCGGGACGTGAAAACGACCACAGCCACTGCTTTTCTTTTGTTGCCGCCTTCCAGCCAGCAGAAACAAAGCAGTGGTTGTGGTCGTTTTCGTTAAGCTCGGCACCAGGGAAATGACCACAACCACTGCTTCTTTTTCGGCCGGCTGGAAGGCGGCGCAAACAAGAAGCAGTGGCTGTGGTCATGTTCCCGTCCCGGAAATGTATTGTGTTTTTTTCCGGCCTTGAGAGAGCTTCGGGTCCCTCACCTGGGCTCACGGCCGCCCCCTCTGCTGAGCCGATATGCTGCACGCGGATCCACTTCCCGCGAGGGGTCCTCTGGAGGCCGTGGGGGGCCTCCCTGGAAGTCCTGGGAGGACACCTGTCGGACGGGGCCATGACGAGGACAGAGCCATTCCAGAGCGTTCTGGAGCGCTCCCAGAGCGTTCTGGAGCGCTCCCAGAAGGCCGCAGCGCCCGAGACATTCTCCAGAGCCGCCGGATCCCATAGATTCTCGACTTATCCTCGCCCGATTTCATCCTCGTACCTTGGGCCAGGGGCACCCTGGCCGGCCAGGCTTTGCCCCCCCCACCCCTTGGCCCTGGGATCCACTGGCGGCGCGCACGAGGGGGTACGATACGTAGGGGGAGGGGGGAAGGCTTCTGAGAAGGAGGCTGCTTCTTGGAAGGCGCGGGCCCTACATCTATGGACAAGGCCCGCCTTTTCTGAGGAGCAGCCTGATCGGGATCCCGCACAGGGTGTGTTTGTGTGTGTGTGTGTGTGTGTGTGTGGCCGATCGCCGGAGCCGTCTCCTCTGCCCAGCCGCCGATGCAAAAGTGTGGTGTGTGTGGCCCATCCTCCCTCTCCCCCTGTCGCGCCGGGGCTCCTCCTCCCCTTACGTGCGTTGCGACCTTAATTTGCATACAGCGTGTCCCCTGTTGCCATTCCGCCAGAGCAGTTGCCCTCTGCCCAGCCTCCGGCGCAAAGTGTGTGTGTGTGCTCCTTTCTGTCTACATCCTTCCTGCGCAGGGCGTCCCCACTCCTCCTCTCGTGCGTTGCGGCGTAATTAGCATCGGTATGCCCTGCGGATCATGTATTAGAAACGCAGGGATTTAGTATTAAAGACAACGATGAGCTCATGCATACATGTATTCATAAATCAGTCATGTGTTAAACATCCTATATTACAAACAATATCATTAAAAACTGCCCTGTAAGGAGCAGCCGTGATCCTAGGCCAGGGGCGCCTGGCAGCAGCCGAGCGGCCCGGAGGGAGGAGTGGGAGGAGGAGGAGGGGGAGGAGGAGGAGGAGGAGGAGGAGGAGGAGGAGGAGGAGGAGGAGGAGGAGGAGGAGGTGGGGGAGGAGGAGACGCCTGCGGCATCCAAGAAAGGGCCCCGCCTTCGAGGATCGAGGGAGCTGATGTCTCCTCCTCGGCGGAAGGCGGCCGAGGCCCTGCGGAGGGCGGGGGAAGCAAAACGAGACCGCCTCCGCCGGCGGAAGCCGCTGGCGGAAGTACAAAGCAGTTTCTAAGAGATGATACGTCTTTTTAGGTCAGCGCTTTTTGAACTTGTCACACATCCACTGCCTCTGGCCAGGCCAGTTCTGTGCCCCGAAGCGGCGTGATGCCTTTTTGTGTACAGCTCTTGTCGCAGTACTACGCGTAGACGTAAACCTTTCGGAGGTCCGCGTGCATCTCTTGCATCGGCACTGATGCCATCAGGGAGGCGACTCAGGCTTTCAGGTGTAAGGGTCTGGCCTTGCGTCTGCTTGCTTGCTGCTTTTTTTTCTGGAAGGGGGTAAGGGTGTCGGGGCCCTTTGCTTGCTTGCTGTTTTGGCGGCCTTGGCTTTGCTGCATCTGCGGGTCTTCTGGGATCACCGTGAGGGGCGCCCTGGGGCTCCCCCGAGGCTCCAACGGGGCTTTGGCGGCTGCGGGGAGCAGTTATGAGCAGTTCCTGAAGGGGCTATTTGCCGCCGACCCCCGGGCCCCAGGAATCGAGAAGTCCTAGGAGGCATTGCGGAGTCTGGGCAGGCCTCGGCGAGTTGTGCATAGCTTCCGGAGACATTGAGCGGCCAGCGGAGCTTTGGGGAGCCCCTGCGAGTTTCTGAGAGGCCCTGGGAAGCCCTCGCGGATTGGACGGCTCCATGGAGCCATGGGGGAGCTCGGACGCGCGGGCTTTACGTACGAAGTCGCTATCCTGAAGCCATCTTGTGGTAACACTGGGACAATTCTGGGACCTAAAAAGATTTGTGAATGAAGTCAGTTCGATGCTTGCATGCGTGTTTCAGAAAGTTTTGGGTTCATCTGCTGTTTCGTTTTTTCACCAAGGAGGTTAGGGGATCAGAGATTCTTTGTTTGCTTGCTAGTTTAAAAGGGGTTGACATTTGATTTTTGGTTTGCTTGCTTGCTTTTTCCGGACCCTTCTTGAGGGGTCCGAGTATTCGTTCAGTTTGCTTGCTGATTTTCTCAAGAGTATTTGGGAGTAGAGTCGCCTCCCTGATCTGATGCCCGCTGTCCTGGCGCGCGGAGCGCACCATGGGGCGGCGCTGGAAGCGGCTCCAGCGCCGCTCCAGGAAGTTTGCGCGGATCTCCAGCTGGTTACGTTTACGTAGGCAAGCCGCTTGAGACATCCGCCCAACCTGGCCGCGAATTCGCGAGTGCCATACACCCTGGAGGCCCCCCCCCAATTGGAGTGCTGAAGCCAGCGCCTCGCTCGAGATATCCTCAAAATCTGCGCTGAAAACATTGAAGTCCAAACCGCCAACCGAGACATCCCCACAATCTGGCCGCGAACGGGCCCCGGAGAGCACTTGAGCGGCTCCCACATTGGGAGTGCTCAAACCAGCGCCTCGCCTCGGAACTGAGTGCGCATGTGTCGAAGTACGTATGGGCCGAAGAGAGAGAGAGAGAGAGAGAGACAGAGCAAGCGATACATATATATATATATATATATATATATATATATACGTATATATATGTGTGTGCATATATACACATATGTACATTCTCTGTGTGTATAGATGGTGTGAGAGAGAGATAGAACAAAGGAAGACAGAGAGAGAGAGAGAGAGAGATAAAGAGACAAGCATACATATGGAATATGAGCGAGAGAGAGAGAGCGAGAGATACAGAGAGAACGAGAGAGAGAGAGAGAACTAAGAAAGAAAGAGCGAGAGAGAGAGAGAGAGAACAAAAGAAAGATAAATAGAGATAGAGTGAGTGAGTGCAAATGAGCATGAGTATGCGCATGATACCGCCATCGTAGGAGTAGTGAACGGGTTTGGGTGTGAATCGTGTAAGGGAGTCTGAGTGTGTTTGAGTCTGAGTGTGCGGAGCTTGAAAGTGTGAGTCCGAGTGTGAGTGAGTTTGAAGGCGATTGAGTCTTAGTATGAGTGGGTCTTAGTTCGACTATGGGTGAATCTGAGTATGAGCGAGTCTGAGTATGAGAGGGTCCGATTTGGCCTTGGGAAAACGAGGAGGAGGAAGAAGGTGTTCCAGGGGTCGGCGTCGATGGGGAATAACAGTAACCCCGTACTTAAGACATGGGGCACACATCGTACCTCTATCCTCGACTTTCGAATCTGGTCAGCATCAGACCTCGGTCCTTGGTCTGTCCTTGCTGTCCTTAGTCTCAGGTGGAGATGGCAAGCCACCGCCTGTACGCCGAGGCCGAGCAGCGCAAACAGCGAGCGCAGGAACAGCTCCTCCCCTGGCCGCACTGCTGTCGAGTCGAGCTTGTTGGGGGGGGGGGGCAGCGCTGTTGACACGGCAGAGCTGGTAGTCCAGAGCTTATCATTTCATCCGTTGTCAAAGTAAAACGGAGGGTGGGCTCAGGCCTGCTCTGCCACGGACAAATTCTCGACGGCTTTCCAAAGGTTGGGCTTTTGCTGGCCCGCTTCGGTCCCAGGGGCATCATCGAAGCACGACCCGCGACGAAAACCCGGCCCTGGGGGCGGGTCAAGAGCATCGGGGGCCAACGCCATGAACCAATTATGGGGCCGGGTGGAGGAGGAGGAGGAGTAGAAGGAGGACCAGAGTTAGCCCAATATGAATCAGCGATGCTTCGGTGCACCCTTCTGTCCCAAGCCCTCTCTTCATCTCCTCGCATGTCCTCGCAGGCATTCCTTTTCATCAGTGCGGGAGCAAGCAAGCAAGCAGGCAAGCAAGCGAGCCTGGTGCCTAGACGGCGCATCGGCACAAAAGGAGCTGCGGCGCCCCATACAACGCACAGCTTCGTCAGCACGCGAGGCGCTCCTTGAGATGCTCGCCCTCCACGAGCCCTGGGCCTGCCGTTCAGGCGGTAGCCCCGCTCTGAAATAAGCGGGTCGCTCCATCCGTGTAGCGGTTGCACGATGTCGATTATCTGGGCAGGGCTGCGAGGAGGTCTCAAGTCAGAGCCTTACTTTGAAAAGAAGGCGCTGTCCACCCGTGTAGCCGCTGCACACGCTTGAGCCCATTGCCTTGGCATTGGAGGCAGTCTCAAGCGATAGCTCCCGTGTTGAACAGACACTTTTTTTGGTGTTGAAAAAAGGCTAAACGCCTCAAAGACGAATGTGCGCGGCGTTGAGGCGAGAGCTTGCACACGGTTTGCCTTCCATACTTGCAACCGTTGGAACTGTCAAGCTTCAAGGCCATGAATGGTGAGGACGTCTCGGGCGACTCGTCCCGTGCGCCCTCTGGACACGTTCGGGTGGATGGTGAGGGGGAGGAGGAGGAGAAGGAAAAGGAGGAGGATCGGGAGCAATACATATATATATATGTGTATATATACACATATGTGTATGCATGTATGTATGTATGTATGTATGTATGCATGCATGCATGCATGCATGCATGCATGCATGCATGTATGTATTTATGTATGTATGTATGTATGTATGTATGTATGTATGTTTCTGCCTTCCCCCCTCTGTCAATTAAAGCTGTGCGCGGCCCGCTTAGCTTCGACGGGAAGAGGCTCGCTCTCGACCCGTGGATCAAAAAATGTATGTATGTATGTATGTATGTATGTATGTGTATACATATATAAGCATGTACACACGATTGCATTGGCGCTTCGCGCCATGCACCTCGGTCCTTGAAGTTTGGTATGCAGGCGGAACGGCAGGAAGGTCAAGCCGACAATTTAGCGATAACTTCTTGATGCCTTTTCCGGCATCGCCGTTACAATAAAGTTTTTCGTTATCCTTCCTCCATTTTTTTTTTTTTTTTTTTTTTTTTTTGTTTTTTTTGTACTCTGCGTATTCTTCCTATCCTCCTCAGTTCTTTTTGCGGAGGTTCCTCCTCGGAGAGCCATTGGGGGTTTCACACAAGTTTTTCAAGATTTCTGAAGTCCGTCTGGAGCCTCCTGAGCGTCTCCTGGGGGCCTCTGGGGGCTTCCTCGGGCCACCCTGCCTCCAACCGCGGTCTCCCTGAACGACCAGGTCACGATTTGGAATGCTTCGGAGGGTGTCTTGGGGCCATCTTGGGCCGTCATGGGGCTCTCCGAGGCCATCTTGGAACCCTGTTGTGCCGTCTTGTAGCTCTCTTGGACTGCATATGGGGTCGTTTCGGGAGCGCGCTGGAACGCCTGGAGCCCTTTTGGGCCGTCTTTTGGCTCTCGTGGGGTTCTCCCGGGTCTTCTGGAGGGTTGGCAGAGAAGCCCGGGGTGGGCCAAATTCGTTAGGGGGGTGGGTGCGCTTTTCCGGAGTCCCCAGCTTTCTGAATATATTTATATATATATATATATATACATATACAAGTATGAGTCTGTAGCTGCATCTATGCATGTATATCTGTATGCATGTGTATATATATATATACACAAGACTTTCGTGGCTCTTCGCGCCATGCACCTGGTCCCTCAAGTTTTGCATCTGTTGGCGCTTGGCGCCATCCCAGTTGGCCTTTGAACCGTGGCCGTTTCCCGTCCATTCGCCTCGCCCGTTCCTATTTGCTCTTGCCCTCGTTTTACAGGTCCGTGCGCAAGCCGAACTTTTCTTGGGGTGCTTTTTGCTTCGAATTTCGAGGCGGACCGGATCACGTGGCGCGAGAACGCGACCTGGAGGCTCCGAGAAGAAGTCGAACCAAAATCGCGTGCCTTCTTCGCGCGATCCTGCGCCAGCTGGTGTCGTAACAGCCAGCGCGTCGATTTTTGACACCGCTTGGATCGTTCAGCTGATAATGCCTGCCGAGTCCTGACCACTGACCGTGTCCATTCCGAACGCCCGCGCCGGGTTCGCCGCCGCGTCGACACAGCACAACTCGACAGCTGTGTATGTGGAGGGACACTTGTTTCTGGGGGGTCGTTTTTTCCCCCGGGATCTGTAGCAGGTCTTTTTGCGCAGGCTCCTCGTTGGAGAACCTTGGGGCCTCACGAATGCCTCTCAAGGGCTTCGGGACCTCTGGAGGCCTCCAGGTCGCCTCTTTGGGCCGTCTTGGGGTCTTTTTGAAGCCGGTGTGGGCCGTCTTGGGTCCCTCATGGGCCGTCCTGGGGCTTTCTTGGGGAATTTGGGCCCTCTGAAAGACCTCCCATGGTCTTCGGGGGTCCCTCGTGGGAGCCTTTTGGGGCCTCGTGAGCTTCTTCTGGGCCGTCTTGGGGCAGTCTTGGGGTCTTCTTGGCCCGACTCGAAGCCCTCATGAGGGCCTCTTGGGCCGCCTTGGGGCGATCTCGCAGGCCTTTTTGGGCCGTCTTGGGCGCTGCTACGGCACAAAACGCGAAGATGCTGAACATGTACGTCTTCCGTCCGGGAATGCAACGATGTTTGCCTCTAGGGGGCTCTCCTGAAGGCCTGCTGGGGCACCCTAGGGTCCTCTTGGGCTTTTTTGGGGTCTCTTGGGCCGTCTGGAGGCCGTCTTGCGCTGCTGTGCGGCTCTCCTGGAAAATTGGGGCCCTCTTGGGGACCTCCCATGGCTCTCGTGGGTCTCTCTTGGGAGCCTTTTGGGGCCTCGTGAGCTTTCCTTGGGCCGTCTTGGGGCTGTCTTGGGGTCTTCTTGGCCCGGCTTGAAGCCCTCATGGGGGCCTCTTAGGCCGCTTTGGGGCGATCTCGCAGGCTTCTTGGGCCGTCTTGGACGCTGCTACGGCACAAAACGCGAATATGCTGAACATGTACGTTTTCCCTCCGGGAATGCAACGATGTTTGCCTCTTGGGGGCTCTCCTGAAGGCCTGCTGGGGCATCTTTGGGGCCTCTTGGGCTGTCTTTGGGGCCTCTTGGGCCGTCTGGAGGCCGTCTTGCGCTGCTGTGGGGCTCTCCTGGATACTTTCATCCTTCTTGGGGACCTCGAATGACCCTCTTGGGTCTCTCTTGGGAGGCTTTTGGGGCCTCGTGAGCTTCTCTTGGGCCGTCTTGGGGCTGTCTTGGGGTCTTCTTGGCCCAGCTTGAAGCCCTCATGGGGGCCTCTTGGGCCACCTTGGGGCGATCTCGCAGGCTTCTTAGGTTTCGGACGCTGTTACGACACAAACAGCGAATCTACTAAGCATTTGTGTTTTCTTTAGGGGATGGACAGATCTTCGCCTTTTGGGGACTCTTCTGCAGGCATCTTGGGGCGTGTTTAGGGCCTCCTGGTTCGTCTTGGGGTTGGGCCGTCTCGATGCCGTCTTGCGCTGCCGTGCGGTTCCCCTGGAAAGCTGGGGCCCACTTAGGACCTCTCATGGCCCTCGTGGGTCTCTCTTGGGAGCCTTTTGGGGCCTCGTGAGTTTCTCTTGGGCCGTCTTGGGGCTGTCTTGGGGTCCTCTTGGCCCAGCTTGAAGCCCGCTTGGGGCCTCTTGGGCCGCCTTGGGGCGACGTCGCAGGCTTCTTGGGCCGTCTTGGACGCTGCTACGACACCAGAAGCGAATCTGCTAAACATGTATGTTTTCTTTCGGGAACGGGACGATGTTTGCATCTTAGGGGCTCTCCTGAAGGCCTGCCTCTTGGGGCGTCATTGGGGCCTCTTGGGCTGTTTTGGGGGCCTCTTGGGCCGTCTTGGACGCTGCTACGACACCAGAAGCGAATCTGCTAAACATGTATGTTTTCTTTCGGGAATGGGACGATGTTTGCATCTTGGGGGCTCTTCCGAAGGCCTGCCTCTTGGGGCGTCATTGGGCCTCTTGGGCCGTTTTGGGGGCCCCTTGGGCCGTCTGGAAGGCCGTCTTGCGCTGCCGTGGGGCTCTCCTAGGGATCTTGGGCCCACTTGGGGACCTCGTGGGTCATTCTTGGGAGCCTTTTGGGGCCTCGTGAGCTTCTTTTGGGTCGCCTTTGGGCAGTCTTGGGGTCCTCTCGGCCCGGCTCGAAGCCCTCTTGGGGGCCTCTTGGGCCGCCTTGGGGCGATCTCGCAGACTTCTTGGGCCGTCTTAGACGCTGCGACGACACAAAAAGCGAATCTGCTAAACATGTACGTTTTTCTATTGGGAATTGAGCGATGTTTGCCTCTTGGGGGCGTCTTTGGGGCCTCTTGGGCTGTCTTGGGGGCTTTCTGGGTGGTCTTGAGGCCGTCTTGCACTGCCGTGCGGCTCTCTTGCGCCTCTCCGACCACTTCTCTGATCGCTTTGAGCTTGCTGGCAAGGCCTGGCAAGGCGCCCTGGGATGCGCGGCAGGGTTGGGGGGCCTCTTCCAAGGGCGTCCAGGGAGCTCCACCTCCCAGAGGTCCGTTTTTGGTTTGAGGGGTGACGGTTTTCCTGCCCCCCCGACTCACAACAACTAGGAAGAGGGATGTGCGCATGTATAGTTGTATGCA